TATTTTCAAAGCTTACCAGCCACTTCTAATATTTGAAAAATAAACCTTATGGAGGCTGTGCTCAACTTACCAGGTAATTTAGATGACTGATGGGTGGGTGTGGTCTTAGCTGCACTTGATAGATAAGTTGACAACAGCAATGACACTCAATGACAGACACAAACATGTTTCGGCATTTTTTATAAACACTAATATCTTCTTCAGTAAAATAATATAAAGACAGGGAACCAAAATATTCTCCATTAATTAAAAAAAAACTGTTTCCTGCATCAGGAAACATGTTATGACAGACATTTCTACTGTAAGTGACAACGTTTTAAGAACATAAATTGAGACCTTGGCAGATTGTGACAACTAGAATGATCCACATGCAAAGGTCTTCTCCACCATGTTTATGCCTCCAGGTTATCTGATTATTTCTTTAATTTCACACCACCAGAGAAGGTATTTTCTCCTCTACTCTGCCTGTGTCTTCTCAAAAATAGCAATTATACCTACCGTCTTATTAGAATGCAGTTGTGAATTGGGGTTGCTTTTGGCACATGTAAAATATATTCAGCATGCTCTCCCAAAGTGTCATTGGTGACTGTGTTGAGGATATGCAAACTCCCATTTTTGCAGAAATACTCATCCCAAATGGAACCTTTTTTTCCTAATGAACTTTGTAGATGGATATATCATAGTGCTGTCAACATTATTTTGAAAATGTACTACATATTTGTTGGAGTCCTGCTTTTGTGTCTTAGACTGACTGTTTGGCACCTTCTACAGGTTTAAAAGTGGTTACTGCAAATTCTAGTGTTGTTCTAGTGTGTATTGTAATGTAACTCTGTGAAAATTATATCTGCAGTTCTGGGCAGGGGTTATAAATATGCTTCAAAAAGAAAAAAAGAGAAGCAGGCTATATGTGACTCCAAATTCACATGCCTCCTTAGTGAGTTTTAATAAATCTAGATACATATTGTGGTTTTAACAGTTTTACTATAATCTACATATAACCTGTTATCTATAATGTAAAAACCAACATACCACTCAGCAGTTATCCCCATATTAAGTTTTGATTTCTTAAGTCTTGGTTCCATTTGTGGCCGCCGGAATCCCTAGAGCCAGCAGCCCAAATCAGAACAACTCAGGGCCACTGGACTTCTCCCCAGTCCCCCCTCCCTTTATTTGTTCTCTCTGTGGTGAAGACAATGTAGAGAATTCCTCTGTCTCATATGACCATTCCATCACACAATCAAACTATCATCACTGAGATTACCTTCAGCTTTCTAGGGTTGGTTTGCCAACAACGGCTCTCCAAAAACTCAGCTCAGAATAACAACCCAAGGCAATGATCTTACCAATAATTATCATTCCGAAAGGATAACTAGAATAACTACAAACCGAGTGGAAAAATGCTCCTTCAGAATGTGATTTGTTCAACACCACATGAACTTTACCCACAAAATTGGAACAAAGAGAGGCTATTTTCTTTATGCTGTAGCATAGCAGTTTTCACTCCTCTGTGGAAAAAGAGCACCTCCATATTATTCAGTGCTGAAATGTGTTTAAGAAATCATTATTTCCATTTTAAAAAGATGACTTGTTAAGATGACTTGTTGCAAGACACTTTTTAACTTGATCTAATGACTGTTTTAAAGGTATAAATAGAGAGAGGTAATGCAACACCCAAATGGCAGCCAACCTCTGAAATGAATCCAGTGCTGCTGTATAGTACACCAGAAAAATTATACATGGACAAGCCAATATACAAGATACAAGAAAAGGCCTTGTTGTAATTAGTATTTTTTTTCCCCAAACTACCATTGCTCTATAAAAGATATTATTCCTATTTCAGTTTCTCCCAGACAACAAACTGTATGTTGACACACACAAAAAAGCTCTCTCTCCTGTCTGTCATTGCGCCTATGCCTCCTTTCCACTATAATGTTGGGTTTTTTGCAGCCTATGTCGACAGCAGGCCGCTCTGACAGCAAATCGCATAAGGCTTTTGCGAGGAGAGATCTCCACGCAAAGAATTCTGATTTATATGTGCCTCTTCTGAGGCCTTTCTTTTCTTCGTACTGTAGATACTTTTTCTCTTATGACCCTTGGTCGTTCTCAAAGAACCGCAGTGAGAAAGGTGAGCTTCAATGACTGTCTGAAACCGGAGCTCACCACGCGACTGAAAGTGCACATGCTAAAAGAAAGATAGCTAACGGGGCAGGCGCATTGAACGGCCTTACATAAACATATCACTAGAACGATTGACAATTATGGGGACCACTTATTTAGATGATCCACCCGGAAATAAAAGATGGTCCTCTATACCTTTAACTAAAAGGTATTGAAACAGTCCAGAACTGATACATTTTTAAGGCAAAGCAAAAGCCAAGGATGAAATCATAAAGGAATAACATCTCAATAAGAAAGGGAATCTTATTCATCGCTTCCTTGCTTTGAAGCCATGTTGATGGTTGTCAGTGTGAACAGGACTCTAAGGTGATTTTACCTCCTAACATTGCCTTATTTTATGAGCAGGTTCCACAAAATTTTTTTTTTTTAAATTAACCCTCACAATATCTGTATTATAAACAATGACAAACCATAAACATACCTGGATGGATGTTTCATATGCTATAAATAAAAGATTCCCATGAAAAAAAAGGTTCGTGTGAACACCACAATAAGTTTCTTAATTAAAATTTGTCTTTATTTCTTAGAAGAGTAGACTCAGTTGTCTGAGGAAAGCAAGTTCACACACCCCTCATTATTGCTCTAAGAACTATCCCTAATCCAGCTGTTATGGTGCACATGGTGAGAGAGTATTGATGATTGGTAAGCATAACGTGTGTAATGAAGGGTAATGAAAATAGCTTTGAGGATAGGTCCTGTTTATAGAATTCTGGACTGCAAATTCCCCTACAAAAAAAAAGCTCTTTAAAATTGCTTATCAAATATATTCAGACTCTACAAACATAATAAGGGATTTGCATTGCTATCCTTACATAAAGCCATATATATCGTCAGAATCATGTGGGAAAGTGGAAAACAATTTTTTTTTAATATTGCATATGCAAACTGGGATTTTCTTACATATTGTGTAGTTTTATGGTACTTTTTATTTTTATTCTCATTTGTTAAACCTTAATATTTAATTTGGAATATAGTCATATCTCTTTAATTTGTTTTATAACTCAGATTTTTTTCATATTTGCTGTTATTTCTCGGAAGATGCTGCAGTACCTGGAGGGATCCCACAGATGCACAGAGGAACCTTACACCCACTCAAACTAAGGATAGTTTTAACGTCTATACAGTGATGCACCACTTTATCTGAGGCATTTTTCCTGATCAGCGAACATTGGGGCAAGACAGTGGGCACATTTTCACAACAGACAAATGAGTGTTAACGCCAATGTTTTTCACAAACAGAGGAGGAATAATATCAGATACATTCATACTGGCTGGGAGTCAGGTTTTGTCCAAGGCGGGAAAGTGAATACTGTTCATTAAGTAGAGGAGGATGAAAATAAAGCATGATTTTATTCATGTACAGCCATTTAAAACGACCCTTCCCAATCAAACACCAGCCGAATAGCAGTCCACTTCCCTCCAACTTCAAGGGAAATGCCCTCCAAGTTCCAGCCCATTAAGTGACCCCGTCTTGCATATTATTTTACTCTGACTAGACCAGGGGTCTGCAACCTTTCATATCTAAAGAGCCATTTAGCCCCGAATCCGACCAAGTAAAAGTTGTTTAGGGCCGAAAAATATAACCTGTGTGAAAAAATTTTTTAATATCTCATATGGGAAATTAGTTGCCAACAAATTATGTATTTTTAGCTTTTAAAATAATATTGAACACATAAATTCCAAGCTAATTCAAAGACAAATGCTTCTAAAAACATACTTCTGGTTCTTTTAATGTCATTCTTTTCCATCTTGTGTTTAAGAAAAAATTTAAGAATAGTACATTATTTAGCTCTTTATTTACATTTTAGCCACTATTAAGAGCCGCTGTAGGGGGTCCAAAGAGCCGTATGTGGCTCTAGAGCCGCAGGTTGCAGACCCCTGGACTAGACCATTTCACTGAATTACAGGGTCTGACCAGGAGATGGCATTTCTCTTTGGATCTTAATGTCCACAAATTATGACAGAAAGGATATTTTTGTAGATATATTGATGTTTAAAAAGAAATTGTAGGGGACCAGCCAGGCCCTTTGAGGAAAGCTTGGAAATTTTGAATGGCTACTATTGTGTATAATCAAGCTGTGTATCAATATTTAAAACTCAAGCCAGCACCTTTCCTTTGACATATTTTATTATGACTTAATTAACAAATCAAGCTTTTTTATAGCTAAACATAGCAATAATCAAACAGTTGAATAATTGTAGGTTACCTTCATACAGACAGCCAGTAGCTCCCACTTATAATGATTCTGTTGATCTGCTCAAGGTCAGTAGCAGGCTTTTGTTCATCTTTTACTTTTTTGAGACTCCTTTTGGAATCTGTTTCCCACTGACCATCCATCCATCCATCCATCCATCCATCCATCCATCCATCCATCCATCCATCCATCCATCCATCCATCCATCCATCCATCCATCCATCCATCCATCCATCCATCCATCCATCTTCTAGCACGCTTATCCCGAGTGGGGTCCCACTGACCATTATGACCTTTTATTAAATATGACCTTTTATTAAATATTTTCAGAAACAATTTCCTACCCCACTTTGATATCCTGATGAAAATCATGGTAACTTGTTCGAGTGCGTTCCTAAATGGGGGGCTGTTTCACTTCAGGGCAAATTACTGTAAGACAGCTGATGGTTCAGTTGCTTGTGAGACTCTAGGATTGAGATCACCTCAAAAAGTCAGTCTTGATTAGGTTGTGTAGTTCAGAACAAAGTTTGCTTATCTTTATTCACACCTGCATAAAAGGACTATAAAGGGAAAACAAACCTGCCATAGTCTTTAACCCAAATAAAGGATAACTCCCAGGACAAGACAGAGAAGAAAAATAAACCTAGTTTATTGAAAAAGAGGATAATATGATGATCCGGCTAGAAGACGGTAAGGGGACTTGTAGGAGGGAGGTTGACTGCCAGGAAGAGGTGAGCCAATCCAGACCTGAAGGTGGTTTTGTGGTGAAGGAAATGTGGGGCTGTGGTCCTGAGACTAATGATGGTTGAGCAGTGCTGATGGTGTGGATTCACAGGTTGTCCTGAGGTTGCAGGGCAAGCAGCCTGTGCAGAAGAACAGTGAGATGGCAGAGCAAGGAACACAAGGGAGGGGTGTAGAGCTGGCTTGATGTTACCATGAATGGTTAAAATTCAGAAGAAGAGTGACTGATAATCTGCTCCTCATATGCAGAGGTAATGATGTAAAAGCGATATGCCTGTGTGGAGAGAGCAACTAGCCCACCACAGTCTTGGGATGCCCCTGGTGACAGAATGAGAGAATGAACCACAACAACCAACCAACAACAAACAGCTCCAAACCATGACACCTGGTCCCTTTTAATTAGACCAAAAGTGGCTGGTGTAAAAAGAAAAACTTTGAAGTACAGTTATTCCAAACACAAGGGAATCTCATGTATAAAGCATTGTTAAAAACTGTTTTGTTCAGATAAACAAAACAATATTGGAGGTGAAATATAGTTAAAGATCATCTTGGTTAAGATGATAGCACATAATCCAAAGAAAAAGAACAACAATAAAAAAAAGTATGCAATGAGCTGAGGCTAAATAAAGTCAGGTGGTAATTTTTGTTTATGTGTTTGTTTTTGCCATCTGGCTCTATGCTACTACTTGAGTTCATCAAGCCCTAGAGTACGGTAGTTTGTTTAGCTGACATTTTAATATACTGCACTCATAAACCTGAGCAGTAGGAGATATCAAAGCAATAAAAGTTTTGTTGGATACCTGCCCTTCTGACATTAATATTTACCATGTTGTGTCCATCTTTTCTTTAGAGAAACTTCTCAAACGCTAGCATTAAAACGAAAATGCATAAGCTATTGTGTCCTTCCAGCCAGGAGCTCAACATATTTGACAAAGACGCTTAAAGCTATCAGCTACTGATTAATCTCGATGGGTCTAAATTTCTGGCTAGCTCTCAACCGGTTATGGAGCTGGATGCCCGGCATACTTAAAACCTCTTTTGCATCCACTTGACAGCTGCGAAGAGTAGATGCTAAGTTTTCCTGTCAGCATGCTTCTCTCTGGTCTCTCCACATTTACACAAAAAATAGAGAACAAAGATTAACATGTTATAAAAACTAGATGAAAAAAAATCAAACATGCATCATAAATGAAGGGCACTAAAAATTAATAAAGACTTATTGTTCTACTACATTGTTGTACTGATTTAATGCAGATCAACTGCAAATATAGAAATTTTCAGAAATCGGGTGGAAAAAAAAGACATTAAGTAGTTGATACATGTAAAAAGGTTTCTGCCTCAGTAATCCAGCGGATCGGTGGATTCAGTTTGAATAAATTTGCTTGTAGGCATGGACAAAATTTTGATTTCATTAGTGAGGGGGACACAAGTATTTTTTAATATAACTCTTTTGTATAAGTTCAGCGTGTTTTCTTGTATATCTGTTTGCTTCCTCCATTTTCTCTGTATATTTCCTCCACTTTCTCTTGCATCTCTGCTATCCCTTTCCTCACAAAATATATCCATGTAGATTTAAAACATATAGTTTTACAATTATTATTAGATTGGATTAAAAAAAAAACAAAATTAAGAAGGTTTTTTAGGAGGGGTGTTACGCAGTTTTTTGGCTGTTACTTACACTTTGACTTTTTAAGAAGTCTCTTATGTCTCTCTTTTTTTCAGACAGCCTGGCTGCAAATCTAGTCACCAAACACATGCACGCATATGAGACCAATTCATAGATTCATGTAAATCAATACATCTGATATTACAACCCTTCGAGATTATGTGACCCAATGAGAATAACAAATGCCCAACTTACAGTAGCAGATTCCCTCACCGTCTGTTGTCTTTTGCAGATCCATGTTCTTCTCTAAGACAATAACTCCTGGACCATTTGAGATATCTCAAAAATCCAAAACGTACCATAACGTAGAGAAAAACACTTTTGACCCTACAGTTCTAATTAGGGTAGCACATAGGACTTTGGCAGTGCTGCGGCCATCCAATCACAAACCCGATTCATTAGCAAATCCGATTTTTTGTAAAGTGAGCGTCTCAGGAGTGACAGCGGTGACAGGCAATCACACAAGAGAAGATGGTAGGCCAATCAGGAGCTTGTGTGTGGTCTAAACTCAGTGAAGCAGGCTTCAACTTCAGCTGCATTTTTCCCCTTCAAGTGCTCGGCGTTTGTCTGTGTACTGTAGCGTAACATTGTCTTTGGACAGCAAAAAGTGCAGGGGACCAAAACTGACTTTTGGACGCCCCCCCTCAAAAAAAAAAGTCTGTGCTTGAATGAAATGGATTTTAGTGATACTACCAGGAATATATGCAAACACAAACTTTGCCCTTACTTAAACTCGGATCAATTGAGCCCTCTCAAAACTCTTTTAATTAACCATGGACAAAAGGATCCTCAATTTAGAGTTAGGGTTTGATAAATTAAACTGAATTTTCTCTAACATCGAGTCTGGCTCTTTCAAAACATCATCAGTACAGCATAGATGACCAAACAAGTCACAAAGAGAATATAACTTAACTTTTACTCAAACTCCACACTCAGTATTGTTTGCTGCTGTCACTCTATAATATCTCTTTTTCAACTTAAATTTGAGCAAAAAAGAAAAAAATCACTATGCCATTTTTTATATGCAGTTTTTTTTATATCTTGATTTATATTTTTATATCTTTTTTTAGTTTAAATTAATCTGTTACCCTACAAAGGCAACACAAATTGTATTGCCAGCTCTGTGAATATTCTGTGGAGGTCTGTCCTTAGTGCACCTGTCTTGCAGTTCTGAAATGTGTGTGTGTGGAGGGGGGTGTGGGTGTGTGTGTGGGGGGTGTTTCTGAACAATATATATGCTGAATCAAAGCAGCTGCTTCACAAAAGCAAGCCTATTAAAACTGTTTTTGTGAAGTAGACCATAAAAAAAAATATTTTCTCCTTTCAAAGACAGAACCAAATATTTGTTGTTATTTCCTTCACCAGAATATACATAACATTTTGCCAAAAGTGCACCTTTTTCTGCAGTTCTTGGTAGGTTGTCCTTTTTCCTTCCAAATTAAGTATTTAGTATAAAAAAGACACTTTTCTCGATGGATTTAGTAATCATGTTTTTTTTGTTGTTTTATTAACCAATGTATTTTCATTTCCAAAGGAAAATCACTGATGTTTTAAGTGATACATTTTAAGTTTATTCAGAAGAACGACTCATACTTTATAGAATCAACTTTTCCTTAAAATCCATTTCTTAGTTTAACACCATCATATTTGTAATACTTTCAGATTAACATCATCACAAATTAGACACTGATCCAATAAATGACAAAGTTTTAAGTTTTTCTTTTCTGTTGAATGTCCTTGTTAACCGGAGAGGATATGCTTTACAAAGGAAGTGTAGTTGATACACCCATTGGCATCCTCCTGTCCAGCCATCAGTCTGTCAACTTCATCTTCTGTCATTCTTTCTCCAAGTGTTGCCAACACATGACGAAGCTCTGCTCCCATAATGGTGCCATTGCCCTCTTTGTCAAAAACCCTAAGCCCTTCCACAAAATCCTCAAAGTTGCCTTGATCTTTTGCACGGGAGATGTGTTGAAGCATTGGCAGGAAAGTCTCAAAGTCCAGCATCTTAATGTTCATGTCTTCCGGCCGTGGCTTTCCAAGGACTTTTAGTACATCTGAGTTAGTTGGGTTCTGGCCGAGAGCACGCATCACATCCCCACATTGAGCGTATGTGATCTTCATTTCTCCAGTTGGTGTGCGGTCAAACAGGGTAAAAGCCTCCTTGAACTCCTCGATCTGATCAGCCGAGAACTCAATAGCAACACTTTTTGGATCAAAGTCAGGCTCCTTGGGTGGTTCAGGTTGTGGCTCTGGAGGTGGAGCTGGTTTAGAAGCTGGAGCTGCATCTTTCTTTGGTTCTGGCTTCTTGGGCTCAGGTTTCTTTGGTTCGATCTTCTTGGGTGGCATGTTAGAAATATATTCAAAGGTGAGCTGGGGACTTTGAAAGAAATTAACCAGAGGGTGAGCAGAGTTGAAGTGACTCTTAACTACAGAGGGAACCTCCTCTTTCCATGTTTTTATATGTGCCTTGTCTGGGGAGCAGCATAGCAATTTGAAACAGCTCACTATAAAAGGAAGAAACCTAAAATAGCCATAAAGTGATGTCAACATTAAGTATTGTTCTCAGCTGCTGTCATCTAGCCGACAGGGCTATTTGCTGTCATTGTGGGGGGTACAGTTGCATTAGCTAGAAAAAGCTGGCCTTCTCTGATGGACAAAGGGATAAGAGGGAAGCCAGACATCATTCTAAAAGCATGAAATAGCTTTATAGTTAAATATAGAAATGTTCTATGGTTTCTTAATGACTCCTAATGACACTGCAGCAGATAATGTTTAGTCTCATAATCATGTTTGTGAAAAATAATTTAAATGAATTATGTTTGTATGTATACAATAGTAAGGTAATATGCCTAGCATGCCTAGCATGGAAAAAGTGTCTCAGGGTTGGATACAAGGGCTTTCCCTATCAATATTTAAAAGAATTGCTATTAGTTGAATTAATTTAGTTGTTGAGATATGGATGTAGATAAATAAACAACAAAAACGGTCAAAATATATTTATTTTGGTAATATTATTAAACAAGAAAAACTCATACAATATAAATAAAATGCAGAGGGATTGATTTTAAGCCCTTTTGGTTAATTTGCATGATTATCGTTTTCAGCAAAAGCACACAACACTGTTTTTAAGACAGTTTTAAAATTTGCAAAAATATATCAAATACAGTTGTCTTATTCCTTATGTTAACGGACTTCCAAACATCATAAGTGTCATACCTCAGGTAAAGAGAAAATAGAAGTTCTCAATAAATGCGCTCAATGGGCCAAAAAAAATAATAATAATAATTTGTAGAATAAAAAAATAAATTTTATGGGAAAACAAGATCCAAGATTCTGTAAAAATAACTTGAACATATCACTTGGTTAGGGTCCAGTGTGACGTTTAAATTTTTAGTGATATTTTAAAACCAAAAAAAAAAGAAGAAACATTTGGGCCTTGCTCTGATCAAACATTTTAAAGGCAGGCAAACACTGTATTGTATTTTCAACAGTTGTACACAGCAACAGCTAAATCTGTCCGATGAGTCCCCAGGGTTCAAAAGTTCACAGCTCCCAATGTACGTATGTTCTTACACTGTACGGCCCTTTACGGATGCCCTGATACAATCTAGATACTCACACTGTATGTCCAAAAACCACACGTAGGCCGAGAGATGGAAATCTGTCTGACTTGTCAATCTGTAAGAAGAAGAAGAACTCCTTTTCTTTGCACATGTGCACTGTATGAGGTTGTGGTAAATCAGCTCATAGAAGCTCATGGCCTGCTTCAACAGCAGGATTGGCTCACGAACACCTCACAAAGGCCGATTTCATTTCAAAGTTGCACAACTGGAGAAACGGCCCGAAAAGTGCAGAAACTCCTACAATGCATGCCTAGCCATAGAAAAATCAAATACAGTAAAGTATTGCAAAAAACAAACATATATAAAATCCCCTTTAAATCTCAAAACAGCCTTTTTAAAACTGTTTGCTGTGGAAAAAGTACAGAATGTTACAATTAATAATTTTTTTAGTTACCTCTAAAATTTCGTCACTTATTTAGTTCACTTTTATAATGCCCCCCTGCATTTACACTGAGTTCCACTTTTCTGCATGATACAGTCACAGTTTGAATCTGATAGATGAATTGTATGGAGGCTAAAGTTTTAAGTTATAGCAGCAAGACTTTAGCCAACTACAAGACACAGTTGACTGGTCAGAATATATAATTTATTTAAACATGCACTATTAATAGTGTTTGATAGACGATGGAGATATTTTTGTATACTAATAAAAGATTTTTTAATGGTAAAAAGAAGACAAATTTTGACAAAGACTATCTAAAACTAAATAAAAACAAAATAATAACTAAATGTTTCAAAATGTATAATACTTTTATTATAACCAAAATTTAGGATGAATTTGATTTTTTAAAATCCTTTTCTACCATTGTAAGGATGAAGTATTTTGGCCTTAAAACAATATAATTGATACAGTATTAGTAAAAATTACAGGACAGCAAAGGTAATCTGAGTAGTTTGAAAGTTTCCATTTACAACAAGTTGTTATGCCTCTTTCTATACACCTTGAATAGTTTAGGTGTAGAGTGACAAACAAATTTTATTAAGTGTATAGTTTACTAAATATCACTTTATGTAAATGGCATTTTGGTAATGCCATTCAGTGAATGACAAATTAATCAACAAAATATTCATCTAATTTATGGAAGAGAGCCTTTCCAGGATGTGCAGATCTTTGACACAATTTTAATCATAGCAGCCTTAATTGTATGCATGCCTTGCAATTTATCAAATCATTTTTTAAAAGCTAAAATCAGTAATGCAATATTCAAATTCTCCCTCTTCTATCTTCATGCCAGTCCCGCTTGATCTGTCAATCCCAAGTCTAAAGTCCTTGGACCGGGTTGTTTTAGTGTGTGTGTGTGTGGGGGGGGAGGCGGGATCTATGCCTATATAACTGTCCTTAGTCTAAGATCATTATCTCCTCTCTCTTGGCTTTGGAGGTCACATGGAGAGCAAAAACTGACAGCTAATTTGTCGTCTTTTAGTGTGTATGTGCTTGTGTGTATGTCCAGCTTTTTACCCTGCTGGAAACAAAGTGGAAGACATGCAGCAGAGACCAAGTGGCATATCTGCTCTAAAACACTCTATATTTCACATCCATGTTTGTTTTTTCTCCTTTCTTCATTGGCATTATGAAATAGTGGCAGAAGGAAAGAATGGATGACACAGTTCTGGATATTTTATATTTTCTCATGACACTTAGAAATAATGCAGGATCCTGAGGCAGGCAAGTGGGGTGGGATGATAAAGTTTAATCAACATCCTGAAGTGCTTTTCTAGGAGCCTATTGGAAATGGGTTTCTCTCTCTCTCTCATATGGGTACACACACACACACACACCCACACACATACACACATATACATATATATATATATATATATATATATATATATATATATATATATATATATAT